TTGCATTTTCTCTCCAATTTTTTAATAAATAATTTGAAATTTGTTTCCACTTACTTGTCTGTTTTCTAATGGACCCCAATAACAATTCATTAGAAGCAAAACACAAGTTCAGATTTTGGAAAAACATTTAGCCTGAAATTGAAAACCGTGGATTTCTAAATTCACCGTTTCACCAAATTCATTTAAATTTGTCCCAAAATATTCATATTACATTGATATACAAAAATCCTTAAAAAAATCCAATTAAAATATAAAAATATCTAAGACCAATTATTATATATATATTTTTCCTTTTTAATCATTTTCTTCCCAAAATCTCTTTTGATTTTCAATTTCGAGTTAAGAAAGAATCTTTATTTCATCTATTTTGCTTTTTAACCAATAAAATTCTTATACGGGTCTAAGTGGCTCGTAGAACAATTTGACACAAATTTTCATCAATGGACAAAATGCAACAATGGAGGATTAGGTTAAGTGGGCTCATGGAGAGATTTTATTGGAAAATCTCATCCAAAGGAAGAACTAATTAAGGGCTCACGTGGGCACATAGATTTTTAATATCTTGGATATTTCTAAAATTCACATGATTTTTAGAAAATTAAATCACATGATTTCTAAAATTCACATGATTTTGGATAGGATATCAAAGTTCAATAAAAATTAAATCTTAAAAATCACATAATTTTTCCACAATTTCATTTCCACTTCAAAACTTTTTTTTTTTTTTAAATTTCTAAGGCTAGTGGATTCCACTCATAGGTCCTTTGACTTGAAACTTATACCATGTTTGTTAGATATAAAAATACTTGCATAAAAATGTTTACTTGTGAAAATTACGTTATTCATGTATGTTGGGTGAGTGTGGTCATTAAAGCCTTATGAGTGCTTGTAATAAACATTTTGGTATAATGGAATATGAACTCAGTGGGAGTGTGATCCTTTGTGAACCATACTAAACAAATAACATTTGATGATATCAAACTGAGCTTTTACGAAATACGCCAGTCGGTTGGAAAAAACCTATGTTATATAGGTATAGAAATTTATCCGATAAGGGTTTTAATAGGTTATCCTTTGATGATGCCGAATTATGTCTGGATGAGTGAGCCGATGGACTGTGTAGCCCTTGTGTGTGATGGTGGCCTTTAGAGATGGGGGTCAGAGTCTTATCCGCATTCCATCACAAGACATGATATATGATAGTTATTTAAAATAAGCAAACCAAAACTTATACATGTGTGAGAAATACCCCCATGCACCATATGAGTTGTGGTTGTATAAGGTGTGGGTGACTTTGGTATGTCTCAAGGGGAGAACCTGAAATCCACAAACTTGGATTACTACCCTTTGCTCATTGGCTAGACTTTGGTAACTCACAAATGAGCCCCTGTATAGACTATGGGCCATGGGCAACACTGAGCCAGTTTGAGAAAGCAAGTGTAGAGCGCAATCTACAGTTGAAGGTAGAATGCACAATGTTTGTTTATTTAATTCCTAGACCTAATGGATCATTTTCTCATCTAATGAATTTAATTATGTTTGTTTTAATAATATATGATTTTTTGAATTGTTATTGAATTTTTTTAGATCTTTGGATATTTTATTAATTAAATTTGAATTTATAAAAACATAGATATTGATTTTAGAATGATTTAATCATTTAAATTGAATTTTATGAATTTTTAAACATTATATAATATTTTAATTAATTTGATTATTATATGGGAGGCCCAATAAGCTATATAGCCCCACCATTGCATTGTGGGTGGGGCCCACGAGTGCCACCTAAGGTGGCACGCCCCATTCCAAAGAGGTTTCCAATTTTGTTGGATTAAGCTTTGGCTTTAAAAAAAAAGGTTTGTGATGTTTTAGAAAGGTTTTGCCTTGAGGAAGCTTTGAATGGATTTTTAAAAAGCATGAGGAGGATTGTGCATATTTTTTGGTAAGAACAATATTATGTTTGAATTAATTTATTTAATTTTTATTTATGGGAAAATGGTTTAAGAAATAGGGGATAATGTGCTAGTACTTTCCATATGATGTTGACGGTCCATTTATGGAATAGAGGGCTCAAATCTTGCACCTCACAAGTCACCCAAGATTAATGGTGTATATTTAATCTCACAAGAAGATGCAAGCTATGAAAAACCCTAATCCTATTTTTGCACTATAAATATAGGACCCTATACCATGAATCTTTACACAAAAAATATCTTTCTTCTCTTTCTAAATGTTCTCTCTCTCTCTCTCTCTCTTTAGTAAGCCTAAGTGCACGCCCCAAAGGTTTCTCCCTCTAGAATTTTGGTAAGGGGCACACCCCACCTAGATAGTATTATCTTTACTTTTATGTTATGGCATCTTGATCCTAAGGGTTGGATAGAAGTAAGTATGTCATCTCTCTTAAATTAGGTTATCGGTTGTACCTAAGTTAGAGATTTGTGATAAAGAACAGTTCAAAGTTCAATTGGATCGTTTGGCTTAAATTTGCTTTCCCTAGATTAAGATTGAAGATTGATCGTTGATCCCGCGTCATTGAATGGTGATAACTCGGTATGGAGTGTAATAAATCCGGTTGAGATAATCTTCGGCACCCTCTTTTCGTTTCTTGCTATATTTAATTTTATTACCTTTATATTCCCAAACATAAGAATTGTGGTTATTTTTTTTGTTCAAAGAAAATTGGTTTAATGGCATCAAGGTTTTAAGATATTAGAATTGCTTGTTTATTTTCTTTGAAGCAAGAGTTTATCATAATAGGACTAATTGTAAGTGATATTTGTCAAAAGAACAAAAAAAAGGTGAAAAAAAATAAAAATATATACCCTAACAAGATCACATTAATCTTTTTTTCATGTTTGTTACCCAACAAATACACATGAGAAAAATTATATCAAATTTGAGAGAGAGAGTACTTGAAAATTTTTAGAGAGAAACTATCTCAAAAATTTTAAAGAGAGAAACTATCTCAAAATTTAAGTTTTAGAGAGATAATATGTTAATATTATATTATAGAGAGAGAAACTGTATCAAATTCTAGAGAGAGAAAGTGCCTAAACATTTTTAAATTGAACAACTATGTACAATTTTAAGTTCTAGAGAGAGAAATTATCCTAAAACTATAGAAAGAGAAACTATATCAAATTTTTTAGAGAGAAACTACTTGATACTTTTTAGAGAGAGAAACTATCTCAAATTTAATTTTTAGAGAGAGAGTATCTCCAAGTACTAGAGAGAGAAACTAAATCTTAGAGAAAGAGTCCCTGAATTTTTAGAGAGAAACTATCCCAAAATTTTTAAATAGAGAAACTACTTAAATTTTTTTAGAGAGAGACTATCTCAAAATTTTAGAGAGAGAAAGTATATTAAAATATTAGAGAAATTATATCAAATTTTAAAACATGAAAATAATTGCAAGGAATCAATGAATTTTGCATTTTATATCCAAACAAGAGATTTGAGGAATATATGACAAGAATCTTTAATAACAAAAATCCATAATATTATTTTGAATTTCAAATATCCAAAATTCCTAATTTCCTCCTATGCAAACATGCCCTTGGGTTGATTTCCTCATAAAAGAGCCCTAATGGCATATTCAGGCTTTTTTACGGTCTTCATTCGATCAATCTAATTAGAAGGCTCTATCATGTATTTCTCTAGGCTAAATTTAGAAGGCTCCATCATGTATTTCTCTAGAGTAAATTTGAAAATAACCTGAAAATACCCTCGATTGTCCTGTTTTGAATCTTTTAACCATTGGGTCTGTTCCTCTTATCCTTGTCAAAGGGGTTTGATCTACTCCTAAATGTCAGGTTGATCTACAATGAACCAAGTTCTCTCATTGCATAACTGGCAGCTCAAGAAAGAAAAACTCCATATAAAGTGTCAACTTTTAAAAGGTAGAAGTAAAGCTCACCCCAATTTTAATACAAAACCGTCAAATTGATCATTTTGACCTAGAGATGAACTACACCTCATTTATTCAAACTTTATTCTAACTAGTTAGGATAAACTACATAAATCATGTTCTTCCATTCTACTATATCATAACCTTATTAAGATCATAATTCACCATATCTTTTCTCACCACCATCTATCCTTCAAAAACTTCCCCTTATTTTTTAAGACCTTTCCACTTGAACCGAATCACACTATATAATTGATGTATCTAAATCTACTTTCCCTCGCCTATTAAAACCACCTAAATTAATGTATTTCTTCTGAATTCTATTCTTTCTCATCTCATTTCTCATCACCATCTTTATAACAACTAAACTCATCCTAGATAATATTTTTTGACCATCCAATAATCCATCCCATAAAATATGACTAGTCTTACCACCATACTATAAAATTACTTCAATTTCATTAGTATGCGATGATCACATAAAACTCTAGACACAAATATCCATTTTGCCTATGCAGCTCTACTTTTTTTCTTAAGGTACAAATATATTTGAATTCAAGTTGAAATACTGCTTCCAAGGCAATATCTAGACAACCCATTTTCATAATTTTCAAATATCTTACAGACCTACTTGCCCCGCACCATTTTTACGGCTTTAAATTTTATGGTTAAGGACGAAATCAACTTTTCAATCAATCACAAAGTATTTGAATATCCAAACTACACCTTTTAGCATAATTTAGAGGCGTGCCTTACTAGGATGCTTTAAAGTTGACACCTCATACAAACCACACCCTTTCTTAATAGCCACTCATACAATAGGTTCGATTTTTATTCCCCCTCTCTCTCTCTGTTACACTCCTCGCTAGGTGATGGATCTTAGACCAATAAAGAAAAACAAAACCCCGTGTCCTCAAACCTCTGTTTGTTGAACTTGTCCGGTAGAGCATTACTTTTCTGAAATTAAATGAGATGATTGATACATCAGAAGCCAAGTAGGAAAGGTCTAATGAGGATTAGAATCGTACAAAACATTTCTTTGTAATATTTATCTTCTATTTTGGTCAAGACACCACCAAATAAAAACCCCCAATTAACCCAGTCAGGACTAAATTGATCCAGACCAGTTCAGTTGAATTCATTCAAGAAATAAATAATCACAAGAGAGAGAGGAGAGGAAATAATAAAAAGGAACATTGGGGGGAAGCACAAAATGGAAGAGCCCCTGTTAAAGAACTTTTCAGACAGCTTCTCCATCACCAAAAACTCACCCTGTAACAGCCAAGATACACATGTAGCGAGCTAGACATGTTGGCGACATCACATTATATGTAATAAAATTATAAATATAATACATGGGATGCTCAGCCGACGGTACTTATGTGAAGTTGTCAATAAGAGAACATAAACAGCACCTCCCCCGAAAGCTTCCTTAAAGAGGAGGGGTTATAAGGAAAGAAGAATGACCTTTGTACAACGAGCTCCTACATGAAGTAGCTGAGAGCCTTTTTCCTTCTTGAACCACCTTCTCCGTAGAGCTCATTCCACTGCAGCAACTCATTCATGTTCGCGGACTCTGAAGATACACTCGCACATACCTGTAGATAGAAAATGTGAGAAAGAATAGCAATTTGGTAATCATTTGGCTGGCTAGAGAGAGAGAGAGAGAGAGAAAGAGAGGAAACTACAAACAAGTAGAATATTGGGTCTTCGATATACAGGACAATGAAATTTCTCTATCTACATTATATGCGCAGGAGGTGGGTTCACCTGTTCATTGGCATATTTAAAGTCATCCATACTTAGAGGACGTATATCAGCACTACCACTCAATGCCGGGGGCGATCTTCCCTCTGATACTGCCAGGGCCTTTTCCTGGAAAGGAATGAATCCATCTTAGTCTCACTAATGACAAGGAGATGAAACACATTGGACGAAAACAGAACAAGTAGTAGGAAACCAATGAGATGACCGTTGCATGAAATCACTCCCCTATATATATATATATATATATATAAGAAAG